GTGCTCTCCCATCCCATGGAGAAGTAGTCCTCGCAAGTAATATGCTTTGGTGAACCTATTAAAGAAGACAGACTCTCAAGTATCTCCAACGTAAGTGAAGAGAATGGACATCACGTCGGGAATCAAGCACCACAAAATCTTCGTAAACCAAAAGATAAAGAAAACAATGTATCCACAACATAATACCTTCCATCAATTTGCAGAACCCGTTGGAGGCATTCAAGAGCCTTCTCTGAATTTGCCAAATCTTGGTAGAACTACCAAAAATCAAACATTTAACACAACGATAATTGTCAAGTTACTTCACAGATCAAAGTAAATGTGTTAACTTAATGTGCCTGTGTTAAAATCCACCTACTACACACCTACCACTACCACCTACTACACACTCACCTACTTCACCTACTCTCCACCTACTCCTCACCTACTCCCTACTCCACTAAACCTAACCCACTACACCACTACCACCATCCACTACACCTACATCTATATAAGGAACCATTTGTAATAGACAGAATACAACAACATATATCAATCAATAATACATCATTTTTTTAACATGGTATCAGAGCAAGTTTAGAACTTAGTATTTTTCGCTTCACCGGCGGGCGGCAACCTCACCTTAGCCGTCCGCCGGACCTCAATCTATTCCGCCGGACCTCTACACATACCTTCTTTATATCTTTGTTGGCATCATCCCTTCCGACCCTCTGCATCTTTGGTGAGGAGCACTCATGCTCCATCCATGACCCATCATTCCGGCCTTTCTCCGGCAGCTTTTTTTGGACTTTCCGCCGCCTTCTTACCTTCAAAAACAAGAAAACCAGAAAACCAGCAGCAGCACCAGCCGCCAGAAATAGTCACTGAAGCTCACACCTGGAGTTTACACCCAGAGCCAACCCAAGCATCAGATCAACCAGCTTCAGTTCCCCAGTGACGAACTCTGAACCTGGTCCGAAAAACCCTGTTCAAGACTAATATCCACCACATGGAATCAAGCCATAACTCCAGCGAGGAAGAACACGGACAGAACCGAAACTTCACCGTCGCCTTCTCCTCTGGCCAACGCCGACCATGCCACAGACACCACCGCTGCCATCACCACAGCAGCCACGGGAAGCACCACATCACAGCCGCAACGCCCATGGGAGCCACCTCTGCGCTGAGAGCTTCTCTCTCTTTCCCAGATCAAGCTGCTATAAGGGACCCAGATCCTGTTGTTTTCCTTGAAAATGAGTTGCTATATGGCGAGTCTTTCCCTGTTTCAGCAGAAGTTCTCGATTCCAGCTTCTGTCTTCCAATTGGGAAAGCTAAGATAGAACGTGAAGGAAAAGATGTTACTATTACCGCTTTCTCAAGGATGGTTGGTTATGTTCTCAAGGCTGCTGAAATTCTTGCAAAGGAAGGAATTAGTGCCAAGGTTATAAATCTGCGCTCTATTCGTCCACTTGATAGATCCACAGCAGCTGTGCATTATCTGATGCCCAGAACTCATCACTTTTTGTGAAGATTCTTGTGCTTGAAATCTTTGTTAGTGCCCTCGGGTTGTTTGAAGTAATAGTTGGAATAATCATGTCGGCTCAAGCAACAAGAAAGGGCAGACTGCATTTCCCTTTTCTCTCTCTTCCTTTTGGCAGTTTGAAAACACATGGGCATGTCCCTCCGCCCATGCTCCCATCATTTTCCTTTTTCACATGACAAGGCTGCAGTATGAGCTGCAGTATCAAGCCTCGGTTGACTCTCCTCAGAGCAAGTTGGTAGTTTGTTAGAACTATAGTTGGATGCAAGTAGTTATGGTTAGGTTAGGTAGTTAGTAATTATGGTTAAGCAATTGTATCACATGTATATAATGTACTAGAACCCTCTGTAACTGAATCTCAGTTTCTTTATGGTATCAGAGCTCTAAAGTAACTACGAGCAAAGGTCTTTTAATGGCTATTCCAAACCCTAACCTCACTAACCTCACACCAGCAACAGCAATCTCCATGGCTTCACGTTCCTCATCTTCTTTACCTGCAAATCTGACACTACTAATCTGTAATCTCAATGCTCTTGTTACAACCATGCTTGATTCAACAAATTACATTGTTTGGAAGAGTCAATTGCATAATGTCCGGAAAGCTACGAAGCTTCTTGGATATATTGATGGATCAGAGGTATGTCCTCCCTCAGTGTAGTTGATTCCAACAATAATGAAGTTCAGAATCCTGAATATACACCGTGGATCACAATTGATGCCCATCTTTTGAGCTGTATAACAGCAACATTATCACCATCTGTTTACACATCTGTGATTCAGTGTCAATCTAGTTCTGAGGTCTGGAATGTTCTTGCAAAGAGATTCACATCTCTTTCCAGATCTCATATTTCATCAGTTAAAGCACAAACTCAGTCGAATTACCAAAAAAGGTTGAACAATGGAAGATTACTTGAGTCAATTCAAATCCATTTCAGATCAGCTTTCTTTAACTTCATCACAAGTGGATGCAGAGGATTGATCTTGTTAATTCTCAATGGTTTACCAGATGAATATAATGCTTTCAAAACCACAATTAGGGCCCGATCTGCTCCTATTTCTCTGGAAGATTTGTCTGCTCTTCTCTGTTCTGAATCCATTCATGTTGAGTCTTCACTCAAACACACTCATGCTGCAGAAATTCCATTTGCTTATTCTGCTACTCGAGGCTATAGAGGCTCTTCATCTCGAGGCAGACGCTATTCCACAAGAGGTAGGGGAGGCCATACCCATAGAGGCTCTTGTCAATGTTCTCAGACTACTCAGGTTAATCCCTTTCAAACAAGAGGAGGTCATCACTATCAAAGAGGTGGTAGGACAGGTCACAATACTAATTCTGTGATCTGTCAGATCTGTGGAAAAGCAAATCACACTGCCCTAGAATGCTGGTTCAGTTGGGACACATCTTATCAGATTAGAATTTACCATCACCTACCACCACTACCACCTCACCTACTCCACTAAACCTAACCCACTACACCACTACCACCTCACCTACTCCACTAAACCTAACCCACCACACCACTATCACCATCCACTACACACCATCACCATCCACTACACCTACGTCTATATAAGGAACCATTTGTAATAGACAGAAATGGAATAAAATATCAACATATATCAATCAATAATACATCATTTTTTAACAAAATTGTTGAAAGAGTTCAAAAGCATGAACCAGTTTTTAAAAATTGGTGTGTTTTCCAGTCAACAATAGAAGCTCACAAGATCATCTGCAGGCACATGAATCGAAGACCCACGTGGAATCGCCACCATGATGAAGCCACATGGCATTGTCATGATGACTCAACAACATTCATGGGGTGGCATGCAGACCAATGAGGCAACTATGCATGCAAGCCATCAGTCCCAGCTAGCAGACAAGGTGAAAAAGCAAATATGAAAATATTGTGCAATGAGATTGGACCTTTTTTCTATATGAAAATATATTAACTGCTAGTGTAGACTACAATATGTATGATGGAGCATTCCCTACTCAGAAGTGAAAAAATAATAAAACTAATAATTTAATAATTCATTTAAAACTTTGTGTAGAAGAAAAAAACACTAAATGCACGTGTCAAATTGAGATCCATAGAGCTAAAGACACCTAATCAAAGGTAAAGTATAGATGAATTAAATAAAGAAAATGAAATGACAACTGCAACTGCAACAACTTCAACCTATAGTGTATAATCCTCTGGCCAACGCCGACCATGCCACAGACACCACCGCTGCCATCCCCACAGCAGCCACGGGAAGCACCACATCACAGCCGCAACGCCCATGGGAGCCACCTCTGCGCTGAGAGCTTCTCTCTCTTTCCCAGATCGAGCTGCTATAAGGGACCCAGATCCTGTTGTTTTCCTTGAAAATGAGTTGCTATATGGCGAGTCTTTCCCTGTTTCAGCAGAAGTTCTCGATTCCCGCTTCTGTCTTCCAATTGGGAAAGCTAAGATAGAACGTGAAGGAAAAGATGTTACTATTACCACTTTCTCAAGGATGGTTGGTTATGTTCTCAAGGCTGCTGAAATTCTTGCAAAGGAGGGAATTAGAAAGAAATGATCAAATAGAAAGAGAAATGGATATAATAGAAGAAGAAGAAGTAATAGAAGCATACATACCCTTGTTGGAAGAGGTTGAGATTATGAAAGCGATGAATGAAGATGACAATCTCATAACCAGCCTCAAGTAATTTCTTCCATCATATCCACCAACAACATAGAGTATGCCATTAATTTCTTCTTAATTTCTTAGCTACAACAGAGAGCATACCCTTTGCATTCTGATCCCAGACTCACATCACAAAAATTAATAGCTTAAAAGCTAATCTACACATGAATGACCACACTCATATATGTTCAAAAACTCTTAGGAAGCTGTACCCTCCTCAGTAATGTTCTCATGAGAGAGAGAATGCCAAACATTATCTTGACAATTATCAATAAGAATGTAACAGGGATTTTCTGCACACCCTGGGATCAAAATGTAACAGGGAATTTCTGCTTAATTTTTGTTTAATCTCCCATTTATCAGTCAAAGTTCTTACAAAAAAAAAAAACTTTCAAAAGCATATAGAAATAAAAATTAAATTCACATAAAAGAGAAAGATTCAATAGAAGTTATGAAGACAAACCTCATCTTGACAATAATCAATAATCTTTTTGATCCTCAAGACCTCCCCAAAAATCTGACTATCTTCTTCAATATCACCAGTCAATGCCTCAGCTTCTCCATAACTGTAATAGGTTCGAAAATAACCTAGAAATCAGAATTTTTTCTCGGAGGAATCTATATGCTAATTTCGTTGGCCCCTATTTTTAGTGTTGAAATCATCAAGAAAGTAGTCATAATGAGGCTCATATTTCTGCCCAACTTCATAGTGGAGAACAAAAGCTGAAGGCTTTTTATGATTTCAAAAGCAGTAGGAAGAGAACAATACAGTTGTTCATTTAGAATCAGAAGACAGACATGAATACAAAAATAAAGATAAGAAATTTCAATTTGTAATTTCAAAAAAATTGTACGCAATTAAAGCAATTATAGTCCATTTCATTCCATGAAACACCAAACATAAGAAAAATTATGAAAATTAGATTCCAAAGTAGCAAAATCAAACAATACCAAACAATGTCATTGAAATCTCAAGTTCATTTTATTTGATACAAGACACCAAAAACACCGGTCGAAATTGTAAAATGAAGATCTCTCTTTTATGACCAAACTTGTGGAACAAAAGTAAAATATAAACAAATAGCATAACAGAGCCAGCAAATTAAATCAAATAATGAAAAACCCAAATCCACAGTAGTAAATTAAATCTAAATCAAGTTCCATCAATCAGAACAATAAGGCTTTTACCACAGCCAATTTTTCTTGACCTGGATTGAAATTGCAAGGAAAAGAACAAGATCAAACCGAACCCCTCTTTATAAGATGCAATCTGAGACTGAGAACACAAATCAAACCATACATACATATATATATATACAGATAAGAAATGAAAGAAAAGAGGGATTTGAAGATGGAGTTTTGAATCACAAATCCAAGAACTCAAATGTTATACATGCAGCAAAATTCGAAAGAAATAGAGCGAGCGAGCGAGAGAGAGTACCGATTAAAGTTCAGAGTTCAGATCTGAGCTTCTGGAAGACGAGAAGAGAGAGTTTTAGAGAGAGAAAGTGTAGGTATATATATATATATAGAGAGAGAGAGAGAGACGGTGGAGCACACCTTAGTGAAATCGAAATCGCAGGTGCAGATGATGGTGGCGCTGGAGCTTCGAAATCGAAATCGCTCTGAAATCACCGAATCTCTGAGTCCCTGCAAATAAGGATCAAGTAAGAATGCCTTCAAACATTGATTTCATAGATCTCTCTATTGATTTCATGGATCTAGAGAGAGAGAGAAACGGTGGATCTCGCTACCTCGAAATTTGGAAAAATGGAGCTTAGTAGATCTAAATCGAGAGAGAGAGAGAGAGAGAGAGAGAGAGAGAGAGCAGATGGTGATGGCGATGGAGCTTCGAAATCGCGGGTGCAGATGGAGCTTCGATGGAGCTTCGAGAGGATTGAGAAAGAGAGAGAGTTGTAGCATTCTGAGTTTCTCTCGCACGGAATCAAAATAAGGGTCTCAAAAAGAGCACGGAGGAAGCGCGTGTATCCACAGCATTTGGAGGCGTTTTTAAACGCCTTCATTTATAAAACGGTGTAGTTTTAATTAAAAAAAATGTGACGGTTATAAAACGTCGTTAAAAATTTAAAAAAGTAGCGCTTTAAAAAACGCCGTAAAAAAAACGCCGTTAAATCTCATTTTTCTTGTAGTGAATGGTAAAGAATTGAAATCGTTATTTTACCAATCCAACTCAACTT